CAGCGCCGATCCCTGCCGAAGTATATCCTCCTTGATTGGGAGTATCCAAGGCGGTTTGATGCTCAATTTTTGTAGAGGGCCAAACCACTGCCTTTTTGGCCAGAAAGGAGCGATCAGGATAAGCAAAGCTTTGTCCTCTATCACTTTCTTGATGACTCCTGGAATCAAACCTATTGGGGGAAAAGCGTAAAGCAGCTGGGGCCCCCAGGGGTGCAATAACGCATCCACCCCTAAGGTCCCCTCCTCCCAAACTAGCGAAAAAAACTGACCCACTTTCCTGTTGGTTTTTGAGGCGAAGAGATCCACTTTCGGCATCCCCCACCTTTCCGTGATCATATGGAAAGTCTGATCGTTCAGTTCCCAATCTGACTGGAGAAATTTTCTCCTGCTCAGTGCGTCTGCCAGGACATTTAGACTGCCCTGCACGTGTACTGCCGATAAGGACAACAGATTCCCTTCTGCCCAGAGTAGGATGTCCTCGGGCAGCGACAGGAGGGTATGAGACCTTGTGCCCCCCTGCTTGTTTATGTATGCCACCTCTGTAGCGTTGTCCGATGAAATCCTTACATGCTTGTTCACAACGTGGGGAGTGAACCCCAGTAGTGCACATTCCATCGCTTTTAGTTCCCTCATATTTGAGGACTTGGAGCTCCAATGCCTGTCCCAGGAACCCTGGACCAGACTCGATCAATACCAGACTCCAGGTGGACTTGTAGCTGATTCAGCCACACACCTAAAGTCCTGGCCACGCAAGTAATGGCCAGCCCTGGTTTAAATCCAGCACTCGCCGATTCTCATCCCTTTCTGAGCAAAGCCTCCGCTTTCCTGTCCATCGGGTCCTTCAATGCTCCCATATCCTCAAATGATAAAATCAGTCTTTTTTGAGACCTTTGATAAGGAGGCATCTATTTTCGGGCATTTTTCACACAGGCCCGAATCCTCCTCTGCAAATGGGAACCTGCGCTTGTGCCTTGCCGAGAAAAACATTATTTTCTCTGGGTGCTTCCACTCCTCCTGGATCAGGTCCGAAAGTGATTTGTGCACTGGGAAGGTACGCCCTTTCCTAGTCTGGAGTCCCTTGTACAGTTTATCATGAACTGACAGCTCAGCGGATTCTTCTTTAATACCTAAAGTATCCCATATGGCCTTTAACAGCTCACCTGTCTCAAACGAAGGGAAAAGGAATTTTGTAGCTTTGCTGCTATGTAACTCCCCCTCCGACTCCTGATCCTCTGACTCTACCTGAGAGCCCGAGGATTCACTGGGCGCTTGCTTGCTCACCCAGCTTTCAGCGTAGCCCATCGAACTACCTTCCCCCGATGTTCCGGGTAAACTGGTGACCAATAGTGTACCCACTGGGCTCTGCAACACAGACCTGAACGATTGAAAAGTAGTAACCATTTCATCTCTCATAGAATCTATCAGACCCTTGAACATCCCTGCCGATTCCTTGGCAATCACTTTCTCTAAACAACTTTTGCATAAGGGTTTGGACCATGAAGGTGACATTTTGACATTGCAAGAGGCACACTTCTTCCCTTTTGGGCGAAAGCCGCTCGCTTCAGCAAGGGGCTTATTCTCCGTGGCCTTGACCTGCATAAGACAAGAAGGATGCCATCAGCCAGTGCTCCACCCAACATGCAAACAATGCTTAACAAAACAGCACAACCCAGCTTGTCCTGTGCAACAGGCCCCCACACAAGCGGGGTAAGGATAGGGGAGAATTGTATATATAAAAAAAAAAACTCACCTACCTTAGCGCCAGTACCATGCTCTCCCACATCTGGAGAGGCAGCACCCGGTTCGGCATCCTTGCGCCTCACTGCCGACCACGCTAACAGCCCGCTCCTGACATCCCCACCGGCCATATGTGGTCCCGGTCGGCTTCGAGTTGTGCAGCCTTGTAGTCGTGGCCGAGTGGCGTTAGTTGTGACAGCTCTACCCCCAGAGGCTCTGCGCATGCCGCCATCGGCCTTTATGCGCCGAAAGACCGGCACGTCTGGAGGTCCGGCCCGATCTGTCGCACAGGAAGCGCGTCACTGCCTCAGTGGCTCACTTCCGCCCTCACTGTGATGCCGCTCCAACACCGCAACAGCCACAGGTGAGCCGGCGACGCTGACCCCCTCCAGCGCGAAACACCTTGCGGTGCTGCGGCGAGGGTACAGCACCTACTGCCACCATATTAAGGTTTGTGCCAACCTTGCCATCTGCCAGCATGCCACAGCGGTTCCCCAACTTGGCAACACAATCCCAAGGGGGTGCTCCGCCTCCACTCACCCCACTGCACACAGGGGGGGGTGCACCGTCTGGAGCCGCGCACATCAGGAGGATGGTTTCCCTCCCCGAGCGACGGAGGGGAACCTTGGCCAACTCGGATTAGGGTCCGATAGGGGAAAAAACCCTGTATGCACCGCAGCAGGCCATGCCCGGAGTGGTCCCAACGCATGCAGGGTTAGGCTCTGCCCTAAGGCAATAAAACAATGAGCCCAAAATAACAAACATTACGATGTCCCTGTGTAGCCGGAGGAAACACAAAAAAACTGAATTGGGATGGTAGGAGGAGTCTTTTTATTTAATGTGGTTGATGAGTTTCCTGTTGCAGGCAGGCGGAGCCTTATCTCATTGGCTGTCCTGGAAGATGACTGGGGATATGTTGCTACAAAATCGAACATTTGACTTGGCAATAAGTGTTTATGGAAGAGGTGTAACTTAATGGGCATTTTACCTGATGTTACAGTGAAACTCTACACAAGCACTTGAAAGGGTTGAGATGTGGCGATTGTGGCAGCCAATCCATCAAAGACAGCATTTCAGCTTCTTACTTCCTCTTGCCTTGTACAGCCTTAGATCAGCGGTGGCGAACCGAGGGCACGCGTGCCACAGAGGCCCCACTGGTGGCACGCGAGCCTAGGTCCCAGTTACAGTGACCCGCACACTCCAGGTGCAGGTCACTGTAAAGTCATGTTAAGTTTTTAAAGATGGCCGCTGCGAATCGCGGCGGCCATCTTTAAACCTGGCAGGTGCCCAGATTCTAATATATTGCCGAACCAGCAATATAATAAATCAGGGGTGCCCATTAGATCAATCGCGATCTACCATTGATCGCAAAGCGATCCCTGGTAGATCGCGATGTCCTGTCCTCCTGATGGCTGCAGTGCCTTCCTCACTTCTGCTCGGATCCCCCGCTGCCTCTGCCCAGGAAAGCAGCGGAGATTCAGAGGAGAAGCTGAGCCCCTCTTTGTGCGTGGCTGAGCGGCAGAGGATCGGTACATATGAGTGATATGTACCAGACCTCTGTGCAGGACAAACACTGGAGCAATCAGCTGATCACTTCAGTGTTTGTAAATAACTGTACGTATTACCTGATGAAGGGGATCCTTTGTGACCCCGAAACGTTCGTTGTTTTCTACCACGATGCACGTCAATAAATAGACGTATTTTGCAAATTTGGAGTGCCGGTGTCTCTGCTTCCGCTCACGATTGTTAGGGCTGCCACCCTTTGGACTACCGCAGCACCCAATTCTTAAAGGGATTTACGCGGTCAGGAGTGCGATGGGACCATGGACGATCTGTAAATAACTGGGGACACATAGTACTATGTGTCCCCAGTTATGAATGAACAGGTCGTGATTTACATCACTTCTTGTTCATTCATGAGTTTCCCAATGGGGAGAAGCACTCTGTACAGAGGCTCCTCCCCATTCAGAAACTGCTTGATAGTAAATAGTTTCTGAATGAATGGGAAGCATCTGTGCTTTCCATTCATTTAGAACAGAGGCTGCAAAAAAAGAGAGATTGAGGACTTTGTGTCCTCAATTTCTTTTTCTATTTTAAAAAGGAAATATCAGGGGGTTGTTTAGACCTCTTATATTTCTAAGATTTTGCGTCGTGATTTGGGCACTCGGGTTCAAAAACGTTCGCCATCACTGCCTTAGATTTATACTTTGTCCTAATATATATTAAAACTTGCAACAAACATAGCATTTTAAAATAGGAGTATTACTCTTCAGTTAGTTAATCTAAAACAGCCACATACCACCACATTTCTTCACCAACCTTGACAGTATTAGCATTCTTTCATTTGCTCTACATCTGACATTCTACTCCTTGGTCCAAAACCTAAATTTGCCCATAATGCTCATCTTTTCATCCACTTTCCAAGGTACCGTATGTTCTTTTGCCCGTTTTAAATCGTTTCTTTTGGAAATTTCCAGTATGGTGCCTCAAAGGCCATAATCTTTTAGCTGTTGCAGATAACACAGGTATTTGGCATTTACTACTTACTATATCTTAAAGTAGGAGACCAGGACCTATAATGTCGTCATTTTCAAACTGCAGATTCTGAGGTAGTCATTTTCTTGTGCAGCTGTACACTTATGACTCAATACAGCAGTCAGCACTTCTGTCCGGATCGGGCCGGAAATCTTCCATTTCTTTGACAAGCAGACTAATAGAATATTTTACCTTTTGCAAAAAAAAAACCACGAGGGACTAAAATGTTTGCGAAAGTAATGTCATTTTGCCCATTTTTTAAAACAAAAAAATTACTTTTGGAATGTCACTTCCTAGCAGCCCAAAGAGTAAGCTTGCTTCTTTGAACAGAACAATGTACTTTAACTGTGCTAACACAATTATAAAAGGTTTCTGTAATTATGTTTAAATAATTGGTAAAGTTCACCATTAGTACAAAAGAAAAATAGCTGCTGAAAAGGTGCATTGCAAATTATAAATGTTATTTTAGGAAAGAACAGCCGTTTGCAATATAAATTAAGTCTTGGCTATATTTTCAATCAATTGAATGGCAAAAAGAAAGTTGTCAAATAAAGTTATTTGTGATTCTAAATGTTCAGAACACTAGGGTACAGTGAAATATGTACACATCTGTTGCATCAAAAGTGTTTTTTTACTGTTCACTAAATTTATATACCAACACATCACTCATAACAAATAACTAGCATACTCAGAACAGTGCTTTGGTGAACAAGATTTTTTTAATAAACATCACCCAGTGGTTCAAATTACATCAATAAATTTTACAATTAAAAAAAAGCGTAATCTCAAAGAAAATGAGTAACCAGAGACAATTTACAATGTCATAAAATGTATTTGGCATTTTAACAAGTGCATACAAATACAGCTAAAAGCATATCTGTTTTTCCAAGTGCTCTAAAAAGCATCTCAAGTCACAGCCTACACTGAACAGTAACTGTCACTGTATAAGAACAAACACTTGCAAATATAACAAGAAGACCTTTCTGATCAATACATACCTTTGTTTTCAGGAAAGGAACAAAAATTTAACAAAAATGTATTCAGAAATTAAGAAGTATACAGCCATGTTTAAGCAGTCTACACGTTGTGTGTAAATATATATTTCCTACATATCACACACACACACACACTGTAAGAAGTTTAGTAAGATTATGGTGGCTATAAAGCAAAAAAAAACAAACAAAATTAAAAATAATTAAGTCAAGAGTCTCTCTCCTTTTTCACTTTGACATCTCCAGCAAGAATCGTTGCAATTTCTCCCTGCATAAATGCCCATGGTACATTTGATCCCACCAGGGGACATTTTTCCCCACTTGGGCAATACACTTCACCTGATGATCCTTGTTGTTTAATACTTTGCCTTGAACAAGGAAAGCAAAATTTGTGAGAAGGTACTGAAGGGCACTGCACAAAATGTGTGTCCTCAAGACGCTCATGGCATAGAGTGCAACACAGTGGTATACTGTTTGGTATGGAAGAATCAGGAATGCTTTGGGGGTGAACCGGTTCCATTCCTGTATGGGATGATGTTCCACCACCAGGCAGTTGGCTTGGAACTTCCCTTGGAGCCATTCTTCTTTGGTTCATAGAGGAAGGTGAGGGTGGACTGTTACTGTTTCTCCTAGTTGTAGAGTGAACCTGGTTTGCATCTTTAGAGGCATGGCTGCCACCAGCATTATCAGCCACCAGTATTAAAGCAGCCATTGGAGACTGGCCATTTTGTGCAGCTTCAGGTGGTGTGGTGCGGTTGGAATGAGGAGAAACCGTTGCAGGTGGGGATATAAATGAAGAACCTGTCGAACCTGTCATTGTAGAAATCTTAAGACCATCCACTCCTGGCAACCATGACTGTCCTTCACCATTTATCTTAACAGAACCACCTTCTCCTTCTGGCTCTGGAGAGGTCTTTCGCTTCCGAGCAGCACGGGAGCCTGAAGGAAAAAGAACAAGTGGTTAGAATGGAACTACTGTTCCTGAAAAAAGGTTTAAATGCATTTGGTGACTGAAAACGAATAAAAACCCAAATATGGGATTTTCTTTTTAACCCACCAGTGAAATTTTGTTCATAAAGTCATCCGACACAAAGGCTTAAGAAAGCAATACATATCACATACAAACATAAATATATGCACAGAGCAGGCTATAGACCGTCAAATATTTACATATCAGTAAATAAGCTTTATAACAACTGACCTCTGCAGCAGGAGGCACTGAGAAGTAGCCATCCTCAAAGTTTGCAGCAGAAGCCCTTTCACCTACAGCAGTTCAACTCAATCTGCCGTTCTTCTATCTCTAATGTGCGCTACCCTTTAGGTAGCGCAGGGGTGTGGAATTCCTATCGCCCAAAGCCCGGGACAGGCAGTTTCGGACGTCGGCGTGTAGTTTTTTCCCCCTACATTTAACCCGGCTGTGGGCAAACAGCACGGCTAAATGTAGTGTGGGAGGCGTCCAGCCGTCCAAAATCACTTGCAACGAGCCAGAATCTCACTGCCCTCACCTCGCTCCCCTCTCCTCCATCTATCTATCTCCGGCGGCCAGCCATGTACCTCTCCCGGCTGCATGCTGGCTTCTTTTCTGCCATGGTCTTCGGGGTCCCCCCCTCTTGTGGAGGACCTGGGACCAGGCAAATTAGATTAGGTTACAGCACGGAGCAGAGAACGCTTCTCTGCTACGTGTGTGCAGTGATACGGAATGCAGCCTTCCTGTCACAGGAGAACGAGCACAGTGCTGTGCTAGAACTCCTGTGTTGGAGGTGACCGGGTCAATAAAGAGAACCTGCCACCTCCAAATGCTTTCACACAGTAAAAAATAAAATAAAAATGACAAATTAGAAATGTAAATACATAAAAATGGGGGGGGGGGGGGGTCTAATGTAAAAAAATAAATGATAAAAAATAACCAATATTACAAAGTAAAAAAAAAAAAAGTAAAATTAAATTAAAAAACTCTGCTGCACCCACCATCTGCATGCATGGGGTATTGTGGGCGATCCGTTACCGCATGGCAATCGTGCACTAAATCGTGTAGATGGCCTAGCGGTCACAGAATCACACACCACTGCCGATCGCGATGGCAGTGCCATTATTGTCTAATGGCACCCCAGTCACGCCTGGCAGATTGCACGGTTTCCCGGCGCAATACCGCCCGTGCAATCAGGCACAATCACGGTTGAAAATACTGCATGGTGCGTGTATTAATCTGTAACTGTGCCATGTATTCTGAATTTCGCTCGCAAATTGCAAGCACTAGGTCAGCACGGTCACCTGACGCCACTAACCAATGAGAAGCTCTTCTTGGCACTGCTAAATACGGTTTTGGGTAAAATAATTTTTTTGTATCAGGACAAGTAGATTGTCATGAGGGACAAGTAGATCGGGCCCCGCTTTAGTCCTTGGACAAGTAGTTTTTAAAAAAATGTCCACACCCCTGTAGCTATTTCTTTGCTGTATCATTGGTCGGCTTTATGCATCTGTGAGCATAAAGACTAGTGGGCACAAGCATTGAAGTTGGTCAAAAAATTCACAGAAGTACTTCAGTCTGCAAGCTTATGTCTGTGTTCATTCCGACTCCATTCATCCAGAGATGAGTGGAGCCTTTAAACCAGTGGTCTCAAAGTACCGGCCTGCAGGCCAATTGCGGCCCGCGATCCGGTACTATGTAGCCCGCAGACAAGTCAGGTGCGCGGTCACAGACCACGTACCTGCCTTGCAGGAGCAGCTATACGGCCTGCATCTCTGTCGAATGCAGACCGCAGAGCTGCTCCCGTCACCGCCGGAACTCAGATCCTTTCAGCTGGAGCTCAGTTCTGCAGCAGACCTAAATCACCCACTAGAGCACCAGGGATCGAGCCTCCTCACAGCCTCCTCCCTGCAAAAAGGTACTCCAATTTCATACCAAGTCAATTCCTTTAAGGGCTTGTTGACGCGATTTTCCGGTCAGGATCTGCAGACGCGGTGATCTGCATGCAGTGCGTTTTTACCGCGGTCCGGACGCTGACAGTTTTTTTTTAAAAACCACTTGCTGACCGGGGTGTTTACACCCCCTTCCTGTCCAGGACATTTTTCAGTATTCAGCGCTGCGGTACTTCAACTGACGTTTATTGCGTCATGCAACGCTGTACTGCAACAAATTTTATACCATTTTTTGGGGACAGATAGAGCTTTCTTTTGGTAGTATTTAATAACCACTGGGGTTTTTATTTTTTACTATATAACAAAAAATATTTTTTTTTAAAAAAAACGGTTTTCCCTTCATTATTTTACGAAACATTTATTTTTACCCAATTTTTGGGTAAAATATAAAAGGTGGGGTCACATCGGGTTAATAGACACCAAACATGTCAAGCCTTAAAATTGTGCACGCCTGCGAAATCACAAAAAACATCAGCCAAAATTTAGTGTTATCAGTGATTGATGGCCCTAAAATTATTGTTCTCACTCAGACGTCCACGGCAATATGCAACATGTGCGGCGTAATTGGCGCAATCGTCGTTTTTACGTGTGGGCACACCTAACGCATTTTTGCTCATCTATGTGGGGCTGGGGGAACTTTAAAAAAACGTTTGTGGGTTTTTTTTGTGTGTGTAAATTTTATTTATTTTGTGAGCAATTTATTTTTTAACTTTTTTTTTTTTTTTACACTTAACTTTATTGTTATCACATAGGGTGCCAAGAAGTTCCCTATGTAATAACCAATTACAGTGACAGGTCCCCTTTATGGAGACAGATGTGCTTCATCAGCTTCTCTCCGGTTTCTGTACCGGAGAGTGACAGGGGAATGCCAAAGTGATGTAACATACATAACTTCCTGCACTCAGAAAGCGGAGGGAGATCTGTACTGAACTCCCTCCGTTCTCAGTGCATAGAGCCGCCACATCCCCCGGGATAGATGACGCCCAGGATTGCGGTGACGGCGAGAAGAGGTAGAGGGGGGGGGGGGGGGGAGTTTGACTACACAAGGCGT